CACAGTTCAGGCTAACCTAAATTCTAAAATTGAAAGGACAAACCTGTTTACAACAGACTCCCTGTTACTTCCAGTGCTTATCTCCATATTTAAGCGACCTGACCATATACACCTTTGTTCCTAATTCAAGCAAATCTTTTCAGAGAGGACATGAACAGGCATAGAATACAAATCCCTAATTACACCAATTTGCCAAGAATCAGGGATAAGTAAAAGAGCATTTGCATTGAAGGGAAATAAAAATTCACTAGAAGAGATGGAAAAAAAAATCAGAAGAGAAGGCTTTGCTGCAGCATTTGATATAACACGAAGGCATTTGTCATATTCCCACAATGGCCTCAGGCAGAGACTAGGGACCATCTATCTACTAATATCCAGGACACCCAATTCTTTTCCCAACTTTTCATTTTATTTCAAAAGTGCAAGCTTATAGCAGAATTCATAATGTTAAGGCTCCAAAAATTAGCCCAATAAATTGAGTAGGATGATTAGTTTTAGATTTTCTCATCTATTCTGCGTAGCAAGCTCTTTTTAAGATGAAAAAGAAGGCAGCAGTGTAAAATGTGATTCTAAGGTTGCGGTGGAAAGATAATGCATGGGGCATATATATGATTATTACCATATTGATTTGAACTAGGAGTAAAAATTCAATTTATTCATGTGAATAAATATATAACATTTGCATGGCATAGTCTACCTCTGATGGTCTTCATTCAGTTTTCTCTCTTGGAAGAATTAGGAGTTACGGTTTTTCCCAATCATACTGAGCTATGCAGGGAAAGGGCTATATTTCAGCAATAAAATACCTGCCAATTATCATGAGTTCATTTTCTGGCCTGTGTAGGAAAAGCTGGAGAAATTCTTTTCTAAAACCCTGGTAAAGGGTTTTACCCATAAATAATTACAATTGTGAGTTAAGTTAATTAATTATATAGGGCAGATTTTGGGTGCTTTGATTAGTGCTTACTAATCTGTTTTAAAATGGAGCATCAAATAGATGTAACCAGAAATTGGATCTCACCTCTTAATTTTGCAATAATAAAATAAGCTGCAAAAGATGAAATAGCTCTAATCTTACTACATTATGGCTTAGCACAATCTTCCAATCCAGCTAATATTATTCTAAATCAGTATTTCTCAAAGTGTTAGGGGTCCAAGGGGTCTGTGAAATCAAAATTATTTGCCAGCCTGTATTGAAAAATGATACATTAAAATCCTATTAAACAATTGTGAGAAATGGTTGGAGCAGCAAACACATCAATTTTATTTTTTAGTATAGAAAACATTGATAAATACAACCCATAGTAATAAAAGTTTTTTGGAGTCCTACATAATTTTAAAACTGGGAAGGAGACCTGGGAGAAAGAAATTTAGGAAACACTAATGGAGAACTCCAAAGGCTTATGTGGGTTATACCTATCAATATTTTCTGTATTAGAAATTAAAACTGAGAAATCTTAAAATATTTATTTATTCAACATTGAGGATGCCCTGAAAGGTCTCAGGAACCCCCAGAGGTTCTCAGACTACAATTCGAGAACTACTGATCTATATCAGTATTTTTCAAACTTGGCAAGATAGGTGGACTTCAACTCACAGATATTGACTGGGGAATTCTGGGACTTGAAGTCTACCCATCTTAAAATTGCCAAATTTGAAAAATACTGGCTTGGATAGTTTGTCTGAAACATATATTTATGTAGAATGTGCCACTGAATTCAAACCAAGAGCCTTGATAGTACAGTGGTCTATGCACCCTGTTATTAACACAGCTGCCTGCAGTTTACTGCCCGTTCGAATCTCTCCAAGGCTCAAGGTTGACTCAGCCTTCCATCCTTTCTAAGGTAGGTGAAATGAGGACCCAGTTTGTGGGGGCAATAAGCTGATTTTGTATAAATATACAAAAGTATGAAGGCTATTGCTTAACGCATTGTAAGCCGCCCTGAGTCTCCGGAGAAGGGCGGCATATAAATCAAATTAAAAAAAAAAAACCCAGCTTATTTCTGAGTAAATTGTAGGCATAATGCACCTAAGATGCTATGGTATTAGGTAATAGTCTGTGAGAGGAGGATGAGGCAGTACCATAATGGCAATAAAGAGATTTAAAGCAATATATTCATTGTGCAACAACATGGCATGACCCTTGATATCTGATATTCATACAAGTTGTCCGCAACTTACCACAGTTCGTTTAGCGACTGTTCAAAGTTACAACGGCACTGAAAAAAGTGATTTGTGACTGTTTTTCATACTTATGACCATTACAATACCCCCATGGTCACCTGATCAAAATTGAGAGGCTTGGCAATGGACTCATACCTATGACAACGGTTGCAGTGATCCGAGGTCATGTGATCCCCTTTTGCGACCTTCTGAGAAGTAAAGTTTCAGTATTTGGCTGACCATCTGCGGCCAGGAACAGCTCCCCATTGCCCGGTGCGTTCTCACAGGGAGGGCCTCCTTGGGGTGCCGTTGGTCAGACAATGTCGGCTGGCAACCCCTAGGGAGCGGGCCTTTTCTGTGGGCGCACCTACCCTGTGGAATCAACTCCCACTGGAGCTCCGGGTGGCCCCTAACCTTTGCTCTTTTCGCCATGACCTTAAAACATGGTTATTTCGCCTGGCTGGTTTGGACAGAAGGGGTTTTAAAGGGGATTTTAATGGTCTTTTTATAACCTTATTGGGTATTTTTAACATTGATTTTGCTTGTTTTTATTGTTGTGAGCCACCCTGAGTCCTTTCGGAGAGAGGGCGGCATACAAGTTCAATTAATTAATTAATTAATAATAAAGTCAATGGAGAAGCCAGAATCACTTAACAACCACATCACTAACAACTGCAGTGATTCACTTAACAACTGTGGCAACGAAGATGGGCGAAATTCACTTAAAGAGAAATTTTGGACTCGACTGTGGTCGTAAATCGAGGATTACCTGCATTTAGTTGGCCCATCCCTTACCCTGAGTTTCCCTTAACCTCCTCCAGCACTGAACTTAATTTTAAAACCACTGGGTGTGTGCCTGCTCTGCTCACCGGCACTGAAAATCACTCCGGTCTATTCCGCCATCCCTTCCCCTCCGTTTGCCTTTAATTGGGGTTACCCGCTTTTTCCCCTCCGCCACGATCCTCTGCCGAAAAAGTGGGTCCAGCCGCAGGTCCCTCTTGCCCGCCCTCCTGATGGAAGTCGTGACAGACAGCTCCCTGGTTCAATCAGTCGCGCCATAGGACGCGCGACATCCAATCCAAGCCCAGCAAAGGAAAAATAGGCGAGGCAGTGTCGGGTAGTCAGGGACGCGGTCTCCCTGGCAACGGGGCCTGCGGTAATGGAGCAGCGTGCCTGGCGTAGATTATCACAGAGATACGCTTTCTCCCCTTCTTCGTCGTTTTGAATGAAATGGCGTTTCTCCACCCCTTCCTTCCATTTCAAGATCGCTTTTATATTAGGCGTACATTATATGTACTCGCTAATCTGCCGTCATAATAACATAGAAGTCTCTGTGGATGCAGTCATGAACTGCTTGGGGGCGGGGAGGACTATCGGATTTGCTCCCGGGTGGTTAAAAGAAGTTTAAAATAGAAGAAACCAGAGTGGGAAATGTTTTATCTACGAGAGAAGGGTACTCCCTTGCTGATTGTATTAATATAGTTTATTGCATGGGGAGGTGAGGATGGGGCTCCTGTATTAATTTAATGTGCTGCTTTGCCTAACCGAAACCTAAGTAATATACGGAGTAATAACATGTAGGCATCTGTGCAATAAATGGAATAAAATCATTCAGCTCTATAGGGATTAAAATTGGAAGACTGTCTTGGCTGCCTTCTAGGGGTGGGCCAGAGTTTTGCAACCTACATAGGTTAGCTCTGATACTGCACCAGGCAAAGATTATTGTTAATAGGGATTGTCTGGGCATAATAAATAATGGCAATTCAGCAGTCTCGTAAGAAAGAAGCTGCACCACTCTCTTTGCTCTTTGGTTGCAAAAGGTGGCACGTTAATATGTAGTTGATTATGTGCCATCAAATTGGTATCAACTCCTAGAACTACATAAATTTTCCTTTGTCTCTAATCTGTTCTTTTACCTGAGGTTCACCTCAATGATGCACTCATCTCCATATTGAAATCGAGTCCATCCATTTTGCTGCTGCTTGTCCTTTACTTCTCTTTCTTTCCTTCCATCTTCCGTCATTAGTGCCTTTTCCAGAGAGCTGGATCTTTGCATAACATGGCTGAAGAGGGATAGTTTGAACCTGGCCATTTGTGCCACCAGTGAGAGAACTCTGGGTTGATTTGTTTAATGATTTAATTGTTTTCTTGGTTTTCTATGATATTCTCAGGTATCTTTAACAAATTATGCAGTGCTTGGGTTCTTAGTTCTCTTATTTAGACGACTGTAGAGTGGGAGTAACTCCAATGGAATAGGAATGGTTAGCTGTCTCCCTTATGATATAAACTAGCAATATTTTATGTCTTGGAGATTCTCAGTCATCGAGGTCATGGTTGTCTCAAAGGTGCTTTTTCAAAAGGCAACTGGACTTTTTAGAAACATCTTCAAGGAAGAAACAAAGAAATTCCAGTTGCCTTTTGAAAAAGCACCTTTGGGAAATGTTTTGTTATTCCACTCACTTTAGAATAAATGAATTAAAAATATAGGCAAAATAGTATTAGAAATATAGGATTTTCACCACTGAATTGCCTCAACCCAACTTGCTTCTTAGTGAGGGAACATTAGTCACATTAACTGGGAATTCTTGAATTATAGCTCCCAAATATCTTGTAAGTGTTGGTTGAGGAAGGTTGGATTAAGATAGAGAAAAAACAAGGATCAGTTAGAGTTAATACAATGAAATGATCCTGCATTTAGCTTTGAGGATTCAGTACCATTAAGAAAAATATAGGTGAACAGGACAGGGACAGGACAATAGGATGAGAATGTTTTCCAGGCTCTTCCCCAACCCTGGTAGACCCCTAAGCAAAAACAATAAGAAGCAACACATTTGAAATATAGAGATCTCTTATTTATTAACAGCCAAGAGTACTGTTTGGTCAAATACATCAATATTAAAACTGATTTCAAAAGAGTAGAAGCGGCTTTGAAAGGACAGCACCGCTCAGAGGGTAATTCATAGGAACGAAGGGAATAGAAACAACACACACCAGAGTTACAAAGCCTTCTGCACTTTACACAATCCCTTCGATCATAACAGTTACACAACTCTTTAAAACTTAGCAGGTGGCCTCTTTCCAATGCTGGGCAGTTGATTTAGACATCTACATACTTGCTGATGCCAAAATGTGGAAAGGATGTTTAGAAGTTGGGAAAAAGATTGAATTATTAGCAAGATACAGTGGATGGAAGTACAGCACACAACACTGACTGACAGTTCCAATATTATCCTTGATATAGTGATCAATTCTCAAGGACTGAGAAAAGGAAAATGAAGTGAACTTTCAGCTGCAAGGAATGATCAACAGTTCGACATATTAAACATCTCATGGCTCAGCAACAGCCATATTGAATGCTCCTCACTAACGTTCATAATTCAAAGTAAAAGAGATGTATGCGGCAGCTCAGTGGGGATTAATGTGATGAGGCTAACAGAGTGAGGCATATTTTAAAGTGGAGTGGATACGCTATCAACACCACAATTACAAAAACACACTAACCAGAAAACAAAATGGCCATCATGCCTCTCATGGGCAAAAAGCTTAGCCTAGTTGTTTTTTTTTTAATTTGTTTGGTGAGGTGGGGGCATTATTATATCCCAATACATCTCCACAGGAAGTATTAGTAAAAAAAAAAAAAAATTCACTGACTAGAAATCTGGATCAACATTCTCTCCATATTATTCTAGTCTGCAGCAGTTAAGTATTAATATATCTTTTTCCTTTCTTGGATAAAATGAAAGCAATCCATTTAAACCAATATCTGAAATGATAATACTTTTGAGGGTGTCGGTTTAGTTATGTGAGGCGATTGTCTCTTCTAGAGAAACTAAATACATTTTTACTCAGGACAGGATGGGAATTGTACATGTCTTTTCTCATGTATTATATTGAAATCTTGAAAACGAAATTGAAAATTATTATCTGTTTTATCAACTGTTAATCGAAATATTGTTAAAATTTAAAAACAAATTGAAACAATTTCCCTTATTCAGAAAATGAGATAGTATGAATATCCTGTTTGGAATAAGACAGACATCCAATTTATAGTCAGATCTGTGAATCCCAAATAAGCATTTCTAACTGTTGCCAGTTGATTCAATGATTACTTCTTTTATTATAAATAAACTGATTTACAATTCTGTTCTCAATATTATTTTCCGAGGAACTGTGTAAATGTTTTATTGTACATGAATGAAATAGACGCAGTCCTCAACTTGCAACCATTTGTTTAATGACCATTCAGAGTTACAATGGCACTGGAAAAAGTGATTTATACCAGTTTTCACATTTACAACCGCTGCAGCATCTCCATGGTCGTGTGATTAAAATTTGGGCACTTGGCAACTGGCATATATTTATGACATTTGCAATGTCCTGAGGTCATGTGACCACCATTTGTAACCTTCCCAGCTGGTTTCTGTCAAGCAAAGTCAGATTTACTTAAAAGCCTCATGATTCAGTTAACAACTGCAGTGATTTGCCTAGCAACTGTGGCAAAAAAGATTGTAAAATGGGGCTTAACAATTTTCTTGCTTAGCAATGAATACTTTGGGCTCAGTTGTAGTCATAAACTGAGGACTACCTGTAAGCAGATCATCTATTATTTTTTGTCAAAGACCCTAAATTCTAAGCCACTTATTACAAACATTTGCATGCTTTTCTGGAAGTGAAATACCCTGTTACTCAGGAATAAGCAAAGGTGTGGACTATGGCTTTTGAAACGTCGTCCCTATACAACATGCTTCAGCTTTTCAAGGTATCTTAGTGGCTTCTCTCATCTAATACCGTTACAGATTGAGGCATCTCACTACTTCTATCACGAGCTGGTTGAAAGACATAGAAACTATTGAATTCTTAGAAGCTCTCCTCAGTTTTGTGCACTTCTGATACAGCAGACTACATTTCCCCTCACTCCAGTTTAAGTGGCTCGGGTTAATGGGAGTCATAACTTTACTTGCATACCTGGAGGGAATATCTGTCTGCTCTAGATGTCTTTAAAATGTTTCTCCCTGAAACAGAGAATTACTAAGGCATCAATTCTATATCCATTTAGCTCCATTGGTCAAATATATAGGTGGTGGGTAAGGTAGATAGGGATTGCACTGTAAGGTCTTATTCATTCCCATTTCTTTTTCCTCAGTTCTTATTTTACAGCAAGATTAAAAAAAAAACCCACTAATTTATAGCCAAAATTAGGAAGTAGAAATGAGCAAACTTGCCTCAACTAAAACTATTAGATAATAGTTTTAGCACTCTTTTTCTATAAGTATTTGGTATAATCATGTATTGAGAACCTAGTAATTCTTAACCCTTAGTCTTTTTTCTGATAGAGTCATTAATAGGTAGTCTTAGAGGGGAGGCTTATTATTAAAATGATGGTTATTCTCTTGTAAAGGGCAGTTGTCCCTTCCCTTGGAACTAGAAGCACCTGCATGATGCAAGATTTAAAACTATAATAATGGGATGAGAAATCAATTTCAGCAAGTGCTATAAAAATATGGGTAAAAATCCTAATATTAGTATCAAAAGGTCTAATTTTATTTTATTTTTTTTAAAGGAGGGCATACCTTTGAAGGACTATGATCCTATCCAGAATTTGCTAACATAAACAAAATTTTGGCATAAAAGTTACATATATGTATTTTAATTCAGGCTTATAAAACAATTTTTGGTAGTTTATAGTTATTCCCCTTAATTTTGATTCTGCTGAAAATAGCTGGCAGTGTAATCAGCTTAAAAATTCTTAGCAAGTCATCCAAATTTTAAACAATTATAGAATATTTCTAATAAATTGTAATGTTGCTATACCAAAAGTATTGTAAACATGTTTTAGGCCTCTGTAAAACTATTGTCAAACATTTTAAATCCAAGAGTAAACTTTTTGGATAAATGCATTTTTTCCATTTATAAAATGCTTCAAACTGCTTTCTAACAAACAGGAAACCTATTGCAGTGGTATAATAAACCAGTTTTAAGCTTGTAGCAAAAATGTAAACCTGTTTTAACAAAGCAAAATTATTACAAGTTGGATAGTAAAATGCTAGTAAATATAACCTGCTTCCAGGAGGTTTGTAGCAAATTTTCCCTAATACTCTTATTGATATCAAACATTTCATAAACATACATATTGTAAAGCACAAGTTGTCAAACAGATAAATACATAAGCAAAACTGTTATAAAACCCAAAAAATGTAATTGAAAACAAACAAACCTTATGAATAGCTTAATACATTGGCTAATGGGTAACACACTATTATATTCTAGCATCAAACTGCAGGCTCTATAAATTATTGTTTCTAGTATGTGGAAATTTTGTAATAAGATGGTTAGAATATCCTACATTATGTTTACTAAAACTTTACATATGGAATCTACACATATGACATTTTACAATTTCAACCTACCTAGTCCTATTTTGGACAGAGTGTCAATAACTTAAGGAGGAGTATATCTGAAGTACTTCAGAATCCAGAAATTCTAATCTCACTCTTATCCTGCAAACCTATAACATCTTCTCAGAATATCTTTGAATTAAATAGGATTTACTTCCAGCTAAATGGATATAAATTCTAGCCTCAGTTATAACTTAAAGCCATTATGAAATTGTAGAAAACTTATTTTCAAACTAAGTTTTCAAGTATTCTGTTAAATTTTTTAATCCAAGATCTACTTTTTATAAAGTTGTTTTATAATACAATCTCCAAATATTTTTAGCTATTGTAATTGGAGCTCATTTGCAATTTTTAAAAAATCTATTATTGAACATATATTTGTAGATACTGTTGATTATAGATTTCCATACAAGATCTAATTTTCAAACATGGTAACACAGCAGCATTCAAAATGTGAATAAAATGATATCCCTTAAATTTTTTTAATTTTGAACCTATAGTGTAATCAAATTAAGAGGATTAATGGTAGATTTATTTGAAGTCTGGTTGCAACATTTGACAGATAAATTATTATTATTTAGTAATGCTTTTGTGGGGAAAAAGACTGTTTTTACATAAGGCTCGATTTTCAAATGCATAAATCAAATCTGAAATATGTTATTTAAATCTGCATAAATTGTTTTGCAAGCTTCGTGGTTGATTTACAGTAAATCTGTCACTTGTCTCCAATTACTAAGTAAGCATTCTTTCTTTTTTCACACAGTGGATTAAAAAGTTTTTTTTTCTCTCGGAGATTTTTTTTTTTTTCAAATAAGAAATGGCTCTGAGAAAAGAGACAAGCTCACAGGTTACCTTCCCTCCCCCCCCAACAGGCATATTCAGGGGAGCCTCACCCACACACTCCCATTTGCTTTGGATGGGAGATGGAATGGTTGCCGGAGAAGTCGGCCCGGAAATGAAGGCTATCAAGAGGTCTTTATCCCAATTGCTGCATCCATCTCATCTTCAGGTTGCAGAGTGTGCCACTGAGCAATAGGTCTACGGGGATTGGCCAGCATATCAGACCAATGGCGCAGCTCAGTACCCGTGGCATTACAGCCTACAAAGATCTTCCCAATGGCCTCGTTTTTGCCTAGTTTGTCGTAATCCAGCACCGTCAGGACAACTTGGACTTTCTATAGAAAGAGAAAAGGTTGGTCATCAGCATGAAAAATAATTGGAGGGATGAATGAATTCAACTGCCTTTCCTACCACTGTTGCCCACTGGCCATTTCTGGTTTTAACTTCTGTTTCTCCATCTTGAGTTCCAAACAGAGGTATGCGGTCTAGAGAGTACAGCTTGCAGGAACAATGACAGAGGGGGTGCGGGGGGGAGATGCTAGTTTGAACACATCACTTTTCCTCTTTCAGCTTCACAATTACTTGAATTTCCAAGACCTTTGGCTTCCAAATAGTTTGATTCTTCAGGTCAAGTGAAAGCTAACAGTGACAAATTAACACAAGAACAATTATTAAGTGGAACAACTTGCCTACAGAAGTTGTGGATGCTCCAACACTGGAAATTTTTAAGAAGATGTTGTATAACCATTTGTCTGAAATGGTGTAGGGTTTCCTGCCTGGGCAGTGGGTTGGACTAGGGTTGGACAACTCTATTATTCTGTTCTGTTCTGTTCTGTTCTGTTCTGTTCTGTTCTGTTCTGTTCTATTCTATTCTATTCTATTCTATTCTATTCTATTCTATTCTATTCTATTCTATATTAGCCAACAGTGACTCTTGGCATTAAAGCATTATCTTGGAGTTTTGCAAAGGGTTACAGTTCTAAGGGTTTTCATTCTCTAAGACAGGCAAATCATAATAACCATAGAAAACTCCACACCATTCTTTCCCACTATGTTAGACATTGGGTATATTGACATTAATTTTGGCAGGAAGATGCCTTAGTCTTGCAGTATGAACAATAGCAAAGTAGCTTGCAAAACAAGCTAACTCAAGGTCTTCAAATAAAATGCATACAATAGTCCAGTAATTCTTGTTTTGAAACAAGTGCCAATTTTGGACAGATGAAAGTGACTGGAAATAATTGGAGCACATTTTCAAGTGAAATGGGATTGCAGGGAAGAAAAATTTACCTGGATTTGTTCAAAAGGCACCTCAAAACTGAAGGATTCATTATAATAGGGATTCAGTGTATTTTTCTTGATAGTTGTTTTCTTCTTCTTGATACGTTTCCCTCCCTGCATGAGATGGATCTTCACATATGGATCTTGGGTAGGATGACAAAGGGGAAAAAACGTATGAAAATGCTTTATGATTCTCTTACTCCCAATACCCTGATGAGAGAATTTAATTTTAAAGTCATTTCTGGAAAAGTAACAAAAGTAACATTGTTGACCAAAGCAAATCTTCATGGCAAGTTTTAAAGCATTCACTGAACAGCCAAATCAAGAAAGAATGATACATACGTTCATTCCCATATGTTGAACAACTGTTGACCTAAATTAAAGGACCTGGCTCATTTCTCTGTCTTTTTTTAAAAACCTACAAATATTGGAGAACCAGCTGACCTATGCAGTATTGAATAGGTAAGTGGCCTTTTCCCCCCTGCAACTTTATTTTTCATATGAATATTATATATATTCACAAGCTCTTGAGAATTGTATACTTCATTACTTCTCCTTACCTCCATGGAAGCAGTTTGCTTTTATAATCAGGAAAAGTTGAAGCCAGAAATTAAGAGAGAATAGCAGGGGCTTCAGACAGTGGTGGGTTGCTACTGGTTTGCCCCGGTTTGGGTGAAGGTAGCGGCGCCGGCAGGAGGCTCCGCCCACCTGCCTGGACATCGTCAAATATGGTCTGTGCATGTGCAAAAGTGTGAATGCGAGCAAACCAGTAGCAAAGGTAAGTGAACCCCACCCCTGGCTTCAGAGTGCCCCCAAAATGATCATATGGAACATTAAAATGTTCAGCAATTTAAATTAAATATAATGGCTTAATTCTTACCTGAAAGCCCTCCCACATCCATCTTTTTGAGATTTTTGGCTTCTAGCACAATCACTGTCAGTTTCCCAGCTGTAGGCACATACCGGAGTGAAAAACAAATGTCTCCTAACTTCTCATGCTGTAGAAAGAAACGAACAATTATTTCAAAGCTAGGATGGATATTTCTCATAAGATATTGATGCCATTGTCAAGTTCTTGATTACCGGTACCTTTCAAGAAGATAATTGATTATCCACGAGTTGGGTTGGTTATTACCCCAGTCACGTGGTAGTTTTTCAAAGAAAAGCATTTCCCATTTCTAATATATTTAAAGCCACTAGGGCAATTTTCAAACTACGTTTCAGTTAGAGTTTTTTATCTAAAGTTCTGCACAAGTTCTTACCTCCTCCTTCTCTGCTGACTGCAGATCTCGCCACTCCTCGATCACATGCGCCAAGTCCACAGTGTTCATGGGGATACGGATCTCACCAATGACATCATGCTTGGAGAAACGGTCAAAGTCATAGACGGCCATGACGAGAATCTTACCACCAAGTTCTGAATAAGGGACCTATGCATTAAACATAAGAGTTGCAGGATTAAATTGTGGGCACTTTCAGTTGAGCATTTGTTGGTAGGTGAGGAATTAGAGGGGTGAAATGAAGGGAAGTCCCACAATATATGAGGGAGTCCAGAGCTAAAAAGGAAGATGACAGGGTGCATGTAGAAGAAATGTATTTGTATATTTTTGGAACTTTGGCCACGAGAAAAGAAACATGAACTTACTTTAAAGGTGAAAGATTCATTAAATGTAGGGTTGAGAGTTTTGCGGTGGACTTTGGTTTCAAACTTTTTCTTCTTCTCTGGAAGCAGGAAGACTTTGACATAAGGATCGGAGGTACCCCCAATGTCCAGTGCTGGGAGGTCAGCAGCTTGTATAATACCCACAACCAGCTGGAGGAAAATTTTAAAATGAAAACATTCAAATTTAGGAAAATGTCTTCCATTGAGCCAAATCATTGGTCTATGCAACTCAGGATTTCTTAGTTCCTCTGAGTATATTCTGACAAGCAGGAATTTCCTCAGGCACCTTTAATCATGTCATCACCTTATTCTATCCACAATATTTAAAAAGAATCTAGATAAAGTTATCTTCTAATTCTAATCTTTCTATGATAACTATTGTTTTTTTTCTCCTACCCATTAAGGAGGTAAAGAGAATGTATTTTGTGATAGAAATTGACCCCTAAAAGCAGCTAAGGTGATAGGAAGAAACTGATCTTTTCCAATTATTTTTGGAAAATGTATGACCTAGAACAGTGATGGCTAACCTTTTTGCCATCGCGTGCCAGGAGAGGGGGGGCGGGGGGGGGTTGCACGCGCACGTGCCCACGCGCATGCGTGTGCAACCCACTCCCCCCCGCTCCTGGCACATGATGGCCTGGTAGGCCTGTTTTTCTTTCTTACCTGGTTCCAGATCCTCTCTGTGTATCTGGGAAGGGCAAAAACAGCCTTTCCCACTCCCTTGGAGGCCCTACAGAGGCTGAAAGGGCCCATTTCCCAACTCTCGGTGGGACAGAAGTGACATTTTTTGCTGTCCCCAGCCTCCAGAACCTCTCTAGGAGTCTCTAGGAGCCTCTCTAGGAGTCTCTGGAGGCTGGGGATAGGAAAAAACGTCACTTCCTGTCCCACCGGGAGTCGGGAAATGGGCCCTTTCAGCCTCCGTAGGGCCTCAAGGGAGTGGGAAAGGCTGTTTTTGCCCTTCCCAGATACACAGACAGGATCTGGAGCCAGGTAAGAAAGAAAAATGGGCCTTCCCCACCCCACCCCCAGGCCCTCCAGAGGCAGGAAACAGCCTGTTTCCCTACTTCTGGTGGGCCCAGAAGGCCCGAAAATCAGCTGTCTGGCGCGCGCATGCGCCCCAGAGCTGAGCTGGTGTGCCCACTAATATGGCTCTGCGTGCCACCTGTGGCACACGTGCCATAGGTTCACCATCGGACCTGGAGTTAGATTTTCAAACATAAAATATATATTTTGAACTCCTGTATGATATTTCCTTGCATCCTTAATTTCAAAAATTGCCAATAGGATAGGACTAAAGGACTGTAATTACTGTACATAAGTAATATGGTTAATGAAAGTAAATTGCTAGCTGTCCTATTTTATGATGAAATAATCCTTCATTTGATAGAATCCTTTTGGAAAGCTATCTAGTTCAAGTTTTAAAAGAAAAGACACTGAAAACGCTCATCCAGAATTGGCAGCAGAAAGAGGATAGTGACCTGGTCGCCATCTTTTCCATTATAGAAAGATCTATTGTACTTCCATTTACATTATAATAATTATTTCTCTACATGTATCAATATTCACTAATCAGAATGTGCAAGTAACTTTGCAGAACTTGTCTTTTCTTGACAATGCATTTCTTATTTTCTGTATGGCACTTGAGCAGATTCCTAAACTGACAGGAACACAAAGATCAGCCTGCAGCTGTTTGAAGCTGAGGCATGTATTTGTCTTGCCCACCTGTGTGCTCTGGAAGTCATAATCAAGAGAGTACTGGAGTTTCCCCAGCTTCTCCTCTGGCTTCTCCACTTCGGATTCCTGCAACAATGATGGATCTAAATCCTCGACTTCTGGCTGTACCTGGAAAGAAGGAAATGATCAAAGTAATCAATAGAGAAGCATTAGTCAAACAGTAACAGTAACAGAGTTGGAAGGGACCTTGGAGGTCATCTAGTCCAACCCCCTGCTCACATGGGAGACCTGTACTAGAGATTCGAATTGCCAAACTGCCGACCTTTCTGATCGACAAGTTCAGTGTCTTAGCCACATTAGGAATTATTTATTTATTTATTTATTTATTGTATTCGGCTTATAAGCAGATGAGCAACTTCTGCAACAACTTCTGTTCACCCTTTCTCATTCTTTATCCAATTTTTAATCCTCCATACAGTATATGTTGAGATACCACACCTCAGAATTTGAGTGCCATCCTGCCTTGTAATTCTGATGGTTATAATCCTTGAAAGGCATCAAGGATGGGGAAAAGCTGGTTTCACTTGATCAGATGTAATGTGGGCACTGATACAAGCATTCGGTCAGTGCTAGGTTTACATCAACTTGTATAGGCTCCTACATCCTCATAAACTCCACTCATTGTGAATTTTCCCTTCCATCATACATAAATCTATCAGACAATGCTGATCTTAACAAATGGATGTTATTCAGATGCCAAACCCTTCAATATTTTAATGCCTGTTCTCCTGTGGTGGATGGTGAGTTTCCTCTAAATTCTGGAGAAAAAAAAAGACTTAGTATGAGAGTCTTGGGAGCAATGAGGAAATGTACAATAGCAATGAGAAAAAAGACTTCACATGTGGAGGAGGCAATATTCCTATTAACACTGATCAGATGAATTAGTGCAATTATTGAAGGAATCAGAATAAAAGATGGAGGAAGAACTATTTTGCCACTGGTAGCAATGCAAATAAAATTGTGGAGAGGATGTTTGAATAAACATTTTGTTTTCCTGATCCCTTCAGAGTCAGCTTGTCTTAACATAAATAGAACTTTCAAGATGCTGGCATTTTAGTCTTTGACTCTATGGTTTTCTTCTATGGCAGAAGAAGCTTTTTTGTAAGGCCTAGCATTCACAAGTGTAACATCTTACAATCACCAGTTAGCTGCCTTCTGGGCAAAAGAATCCTCAAAATTGAGCTGTATTTCCTATCCTCTATATGAGTGTCTCTCAACCTCAGTGAATTAAGATGTGTGGAGAATTGTGGGAGATGAAGTCCACTCATCTCAAAGCTGCTGCGGTTGAGAAACAGTTCTGTAATATTAGGCCTGTATTATTCCCCTTGTAAATATAGAACCCCAGGAACTAATGGTGTGAGAATGACTTATGGAAAAGACTTAAACAGCTCCTTCTTTTCAGTGGTTTCACTGCTGCAAAAACTTCTACAATTCATGTTCCCACTTCATCCTTTTGTTTTTACAAATGGATCTGCACTCAGAAAAACCAATGAGTCAGGTGATTCTACCTGTTAATGGCAGCCTCCTCTACAATATTGTGATTTCGGATTTGAGATGGGGAAAGGCCAGATTTCCAAGAAAAATGGTGAGTGTTCTTCAACCTTGCATCTGCCTAGTTTTTATTTCTGATAAGGCCCAATTTCCTTCATTCACAATTCTAAATTCAATTTACTTTATCTCAAGACTGCCTCCTTATGTGATATTGTACAGAACTCATTTAATTGAAACTATTCTGCTTGAGTCAAGAATCAGTGCTGTTTCCAGAGTTTTCCAGAAGGAAAGGACTTTGGATAGCCTCTCCTCCTTCTCCCTGGAATTGTAGTTCTTTATCTTGCCCCCAAACCAGATTATTGTCTGTCATTTGTTTCGGCAGTTGCATACTGTCGTTATACCACCAGCAGCATACTGTAAAGATACTTACTTTCCATTGCTCCATCTGCTTCACTATGACTTTTCTGGTAGGACAATCACAGCTAACATAACTTGAAATACTAGCAACGAAATGTGTTACCATCTGATATTCCTCTAGACCAGGGGTGCTTAGAAAAAGCACCCGGGAAAAAGCGAAGGACCAGCCCATGGTGCCTCTACCAATGAAAATGGAGGGTGGGAGGGCTGTGCGCGGCCTGCCTGGACTCTATTTTCAGCTGCGATGGCCTCCTGCAGCTCTCTGCCAGCGAAAATTGAGCTCGGGATGGGGGTGGGGGTGAAGGCTGCAGGAGGTCGTGGCAGCTGAAAATAAAGCCTTAGCAAATGACATTGAGCTGGCCATGTCCACCCCGGCCACACCCCTGGGCCCCCTGAGGTCAAACACAACCCTGATGTGGCCCTCAATGAAATCGAGTTTGACACCTTTGTCTTAGACTATTGTGTTTTCTCTATGTTGCAAGCAAAAATCCTCAAATATGCTATACTTAACTCTGGGAGATATTTGGGAAACAGCAGACATTTTCTCCACTTTTAAGACTCTGTATTTGACTACCCTCTTCTTGGGGTATTGGTTTTACAGCACAGTTTGAAGTCTGCACGGTGGGAACAGGCTCATTTGAAGGACAAATTCTGGCCTTTTATGAAGATCAGCCCCAAACATGCAACCTCTAGTCATTAATAAATGGTTTTGAAATCAGGGAGGTCCCTTTATCGAAGATACATAGATCCTCAAGCTGGGGAGCTATAGGAAAAAAACCTCACTGCCCACCTTATCAATGTAGCTTTTGCCCAACTCCTTCACTTCCTTCATGTTGATCTGTGCCTTGACTTTGTCTTTGCCTTTCTTCCCTTTCTTCTTCTTGCCACAGCATTTTTTAAAAACGCAGAAGCAGCAGCAGAGAAGCAAGAGGCCAGCAACAATGAGAATGGTGGCCAAAGCCCATGGCGGTACTAGAGTGGACGGAAAAGGAGACCAGTGAAAGGTGATGCCACAGATTCTGAAGCAAAGAGGTTGCCTCGTGTTAAATTACTTCCTACTTAAATTTGACTTTTCCTAATTATCACTAGGAATATCTAATGGGCCTTGGCTGATCTCAGGCTGATCTTAATAGGGTCAGACCTGGTTAATATAATGAGTATTGAGGTCAACACAAGCTCAAGAACTGGCAGCTGCGACTTCACAAAGTTGTATATATAATAACGATAATCTATTTATTTTAGATATCAATCTAAACATCTAGCTGACTGTGTGACTAACATTATAATAAATAATAAATTTATTATGAAATTATAGTTCTTAATGTGGCAGAATTATTAAGCAATTGTGGAATCTCACATTTTATGCAGTAATATCTTCTTGTTGAATGATAAATCAGGTGCACCTATAGCAAATATTAGCCACCGATATATGCTGTAGTAGAAATATGGAAGACCAAGGTAGTTCTGCTTGACAGAGAAATGGAGTGAACCATTGCAAGTTATATTTAAATGGTAAAAAGTTACAGCGAGTAAATAAAGTGTTGTATCTTGGTCACTATGTACTAATCATAGGAAGATGGGTGAGAAATGTCAGGATGTTAGGATGTGAAAATGTTGGCTGGAAGTTAATGGATAGTCGTTGGTCTCCCACAAAGAATAAATTTTTGACAAAAGAAGTTCTACCTTCTTTGTTATAAGAAAAAGAGAGGGATACATTAGAAGAAACATAATCATATGTTATGTACAATGGAAATGGAGTATTAAAGAAGTGTCACATAAGGATCTGAACAAGGCATGCAAGACACTCATCTTATTGCCCTTTAACATTTAATTAGTTACAGCTTGTGCATTTTCTAGCCATGCTTCATGAAAAATATGCAGTGTTTAAATTGTAAGCCACCCAGGATCATTGACTCAGTTGGTCAGAGAAAAAAAGAAAGAAAGAAGGAAGGAAGGAAGGAAGGAAGGAAAGAAAGAAAGAAAGAAAGAAAGAAAGAAAGAAAGAAAGAAAGAACTGATATTGCAACAACTGCATGGCCTGTAGCTTTGGTAGCCAGGAAAGAACTTTTGTAGAATTATAAAAGATAGCCTTACAAATTAAAAATAAAGCTATGTATAATAAAGTATTGAGGTCATTTGATTCAAATAAATCAGCCTTAGTAGTTTCAATTGGATTCACCCTCCAGTTTGAAATGTGATATTGGAAACAGCCTAATTCCACCTACTTGGCAGTTTCCCCAATTTGTTCATGAATTTATCTTTAATGTTTGAAAAAACGTTCTCCTTGGAGGGCATCTCGGTGGCATTGATAGAAGGCTCCATCTGGGATTCTGTCACTTCTGAATCTATCCTGGCTGACCTCCGTGCTGCATTCATTGTGGAATCTGGAAAGTGAGAATGAAAAGGCAGATAATTTATGTACTCTCTTGACAATTGCTACAGGTTTAATCTAAATCTTTGATTTTTTTTCTTCTTCTTATAAAGTTAAATAATGCAATCTAAGAGGGAAGTGTCTTTACAAGGGCGTCTTCTCCCTGTTCCCCATAATCTCCCCCCCCCTTGAAATGATGTTTTTAATTTTCCCCTGTTTCTATAGAAGGAGGAAACAAAGAACAATAGGAGGTATGTTTATCAGGATCGTTTTTACATGACTAAGAGGTCTGGAGGTTGTTCTGTTTCCTATTTTCTTCTCATTATTTCCTGTCAACGGCCAGGATAAGTTTGAAAACCCAAGCACTGAAATATCTTCTGGCATTATATTTAAACTGGCTGCTTTATTTCTTGTAAAATTTTAAAAAAAGATCAATTCAGATGGTTTTTAAAGTACTGAAACAGACTTTAGATACAGGCAGTCCTCGACTTATAACAGTTTGTTTAGTGACCGTTCAAAGTTATAGCAGCACTGAAAAAAGTGACTTATGACCATTTTTCACATTTATGTGCGGCGGCATCCCCATGGTCACATGATCAAACTTCAGATGCTTGGCAACTGACTCATATTTATGATGGTTGCAGAGTCCCAGGGTCACGTAATCACCTTTTTGACTTGCTGATGAGCAAAGTCAATGGAGAAACCAGATTCACTAACCTGTATTACTAACTTAACAATTGCAGTGATTCACTTAACAACGGTAGCAAGAAAGATTGTAAAATGAGGCAAAACTCACTTAACAAATGTCTCATTTAGCAACAGAAATTTGGGCTTAATTGTGGTCTTAAGTTGAGGACTACCTGTAATGGAAAGAATAAAGGGTAGATTTGCTGCTCTTTTGGGATGCAACAATACAGAAGAGCTGCAGTATCATTGTAATATCTCCTTATGTGGCCTGGTCCTAATACTGTATTTGAAGCCATTATAATAGAACATAGGAGCAAAGCAACATAGCAAAGAGGATTGAGTTCTACCTTTTTTTTTTTTCTTCAAACTTGCATTTTGACAATAACACCTTTTATCACTCCTAGCTCTGGTACCAAGAAGTATTATGCTGATAGAGTGCCGGATTAAATAATAGTAATAGTCTCAAGAACCATGAAAGTCTTATGCTTAATCCATCTTCAACTCTTGTGGTCCTGTCTCTCATTTTTCAGTGAGGAGGATTATATAACTTTCAACATTCTTCTAAGAATTCAAGAGATCTTTTAGATGAAGTTAGGCTTGTCCATTATTTGCTCTAACCCACTGAGGCAACACATCTAAAGCAGCAACTTCATATTACATTGTGCACAACACAAAGGGCCTTTCAAATACAGTGGATTGAAATTCCTGTTATCTTTAGTGATGGTTACAGATGATGGATTTTACCAACACATCTGAAAAACACCAAGTTGGGGATGTTTATCACAGTAAATTTTATTTTCACCCGTTTCTTTTTAGTTCATTCCCAACGTTTCTTCCTTTTGGCTTCATTTTCCATTTGTTATTGCTGCATTGCTCATTCCTCTCTCTCCCCTCCTGATTTCAACTGAGTTCTAAGTCAGCTCCTGCTGCCTGGATCTAAATGACATACATTTGCTTCAGAGGTGGTATTCAGCCAGTTCTGACAGGTTCTGGAGAACCGGTAGCAGAAATTTTGAGTAGTTTGGAGAACCAGTAAATACCACTGTCAGGTTTCGATGCTATCTCAAAATAAATGAATTTCCAAACTGCCGATCTTTGAGGAAATTTTCTCTTTATTGAGCATAGTGATCTGTCCCTGGCTCTTTCGCGGTCAGTACTGACCTCTGTCGCCCAAGCCCTCCCTTTCCGATCCCCAATTCTCTGCGTCTCATTGGCTATCTTCCAAGCCACTCTCCTCATCCCATCTCCGTCAGATCACAGGAATGTCCCCCCCTCCTCCCATCTCCGAGGAAACAGAATCTTCAAAGGAATTAAGTAGGCAAAAGTTCAAGCTTCTCCTCTCCTTTCAATATGTCAGCGCTGGAACACTGACAACCACCTCTGGTTGGCTCTGCCCCCATCTATTCACTGCCTCCTGAGTCCCAGCTAATCGGAGTCTCAGCTGATTGACTAGATCTTCTTTTGTTGCCCTGCACAGGAAAAAGGAGCTGGAAAGCAGGTTATTGGGGTGAGGAGGAAATGGGGAGTTTACAGTATTCTTCCCCTGCCATGCCCACCAAGCCATGCCCACCAGGCCACGCCCACAGAACAGGTAGTAAAAAAAATTGAATACCACCACTGATTTTCTCCTCCCATTGTTGGCCAGGAAATTGGACCTACTAAGTTTCAGGAAGCTTAGGAAGTGTTCATTTTAGAGCCAATTTTGAAAACGAGACAGCCTTGATTTCAACTTAGTAGAGCTTTCCAACTCATCAGCTGGCCCTGGTTTTCTCTCATCTTCCCACAATGACCTTTCCACGAACTGTACACTCTGCTTCATGCTGTTCATCCAGTCCAAACAGTGTATCTTACGTAAAGCAAATTAAAATAAACAGGAAGGAATAAGCAGGAGAGGACAGAGTTATTAGGGCAAATGAGATGCCTGACTTTTCCCATTCAGTTTTGCTCTTCCACTCAGTTTAATTATAAAAACGAATGGAGCTTCTTTTCTTTTTTCTTTTCTTTTCTTTTCTTTTCTTCTCTTCTTTCTTTCTTTCTTTCTTTCTTTCTTTCTTTCTTTCTTTCTTTCTTTCTCTCTCTCTTTCTTTCTTTCTTTCTTTTTCTTTTTCCTCTACTGCAGCCATCTCAAAAGACCACACTGAATTCAACCCTCTCTACTTGTTTGCCAGCTCACCTGTTAACCTACTCTACCAGTCTGCTTCTTGACCTCATCTGTCCAAAGAGATCTTTCCTGGTACACAATTTCGGCCTAGATCCCAGTTGCAGCCCAGCATGTAGAAAACCAAATGACAGAATAAATTATCCATGGCTAACTTTCCACAAGTTATGCTTTTTATTGACCTTTTAAAAAAATTAAACAGTCTCCATTTGTTATTTGGAGCATTACAATCTGTGGTACAGATTTACTTCCTCATCTCTTCTTTGTGAGAACGTAACTGCATTGCCTCGAGCATAAATGTCTCTCAAGATTGGCACTTTTTAAATCAATGGTCTGGCGCCAATGCATCCATTCATTTGCTAAATGGAAGCCCTTCAAGCTTCTAATTTCATTCCCGTCAAGCACAGATGTATGTTTCCCTTGTGGTTTGTCTATACAACATACAAATCCAATTTCAATCATTTAGTTCCCTTCTCTTCCACTGATTTATTCCAATTGTCTTACAAGCTTCCTCAAAGTATTCCAAAGACCATATTCAGTCCTTGTATTGCCCATTTTGATTTAGTCTTGTTGCACTGTTATATTGCAACAGAGTGCCCAAGATTATCAAGACCACCCTTGTCACGAAGACCATATCTAATACAACTGCTCATAGATCCTTCATCATTATAAAAGATGCCAGGAGAAATGGAAAAGGTATAAAAGGAGACACTCTGGTATTACAGCATTTTAGCAGCTTTCCTCAAATAAACAAAAGTGGAAGCTGAGGTTCATTGGAATTGCTACTTTTCAAAGAAGCAACTGTAGTATGTTTCTGTGATGGAAGACAGATGTCTTCATGATCTGAAAGGAACATTCAGACTTCCAGAAACATGCCTGCAGCTATTTAGCAATTTGGAGGCTGGAGATCCCATAAAGAACAGAAGGGCCAAAGGCAACAGAAGAGACAGCAACTGGGAAGTCTAATGTCTCTATATAGTTAGTTAAGCCAAAAATTCTGACAGATGAGTAGAGAGCAAGCATCGTCTAGCTAATGTGAAGTTAAGAGAATTTTTCCATGCAGGGCTGAAGGGAATAATTAAATTAAACAAGCATCTTGTTAATAGAGGAGAAAAACTAAAAAGAACATACAAATAAGCAGTAAAAGAAACACACACATACAAACACGAAAAACTAGAATCCCTAAAGCAAGCAAAGAGGAATTTTGGAAAACAGAAAGATTTTGTAATATAAATTCACTGTAAATAATAACTCACAATCTGAACAATTTAAGATTTCAGCTTCTAAATTATTGCTGATACACACATCCAGTGTGTATCAGGCCAAAGAATACCAAAAAATGTCACGATGAAGCATTATGAAAATGATAAAAAAGCTTTTGATTGTGTTGATTATATCAAGCTGTGAAATGTGTTTAGAAAAATGGGGATCCCTGAATATCTCATTGTCCTTATATTGTCATCTTTCCTATTACCTACTTCTATTGGCATCTTATGACTATCACTTTGTTGGTTGTATCTTATGATTTATCACTTTGTTGCTTGTATATACACTGAGAGCATATGCACCGGAGACAAATTCCTTGTGTGTCCAATCACATTCCTGTTCCTGTTCCTGTTCCTGTTCCTGTTCCTGTTCCTGTTCCTGTTCCGTTCCGTTCCATTCCGTTCCGTTCCATTCCATTCCATTCCATTCCATTCCATTCCATTCTATTCTCTATGTATGGGTCAGGAAGCCACAATATAGACAGAAATACAATTGATGAAATAGATTTGCTCCAGGTTGGTAAATGCACAAGACAAGACTATGTATTCTACCTTACTTATTCAGTTTATATGCTGAAAATGTTTTAAAGGAAGTGGGATAGAAAGAAGATGAGTGTGGTTTTAAAACTGAAGGAAGAAACATCAATAACTTTGCTATAGACGGCATTATTTTAACAGCTACAAATGTAAAGATTCTGCAACCTCTAATAATAAAAGCCAAAGAGTACAGATGAAAAATGGGACTATAAAGAAATTCAGACTAACAACAGCAGGTATAACATCCAACCCCACAAGGAAGATATTGAAGTGGTAAACAGCTTTTGACTTTTAGGTTCAGCCATCAAGGAACAAACAATTAAATATTCCCAGAGGAGCACTTGGAACAGCCATGAAGGCCATGGA